CACAAACGGTAGGGCCACTCAGAGAGACATAAAAGATGCACTGGCACACCAGGTTATTAATGGACCCCAGGACTCCTGGCGAAGCACCGCTGTGGGCTAATTCTCACTTTCTGTTTCAAGGCCTCATAACCACCACGTCCACTCACAAAGTGACAAATGCTATTTACTAGAAACGTGCCTCACCGGGCCTGGCTATCATATGAAATCATGTTAACTAGTGCAGCTTCAGTATTTTGCTTAAGGAGGTGTTCAGATTCAGGTTGTTATTTTTCATTCTGGTGCTGATTTGAGGAGGTACCGTTCTTCATATTGACCGTTGCTGCAACTTCAACACTTCATTCTTGAGTCCAGGTGAATGTTTGTGCCAGATGTAATGAAATTCCTTAGGGGGCTTCAAAACATATCATGTTAACAAGAACATGAGATCCCTGTGACCGTGACCTTTGACCACCAAAATTCCATCAAGGTGTTCCGGAGCTGTTGCTTTACCACGATCAAAAATGTGTCCGTAAGGCCATCGTGACATTGACCTTCGAATCAGTTTTTCTTTGAGTCCAACTTAACGTTTGAACCAAATTTGAGGAAATTCCGTCGAAGCATTCTTGAGATATCGTGTCCACAAGAACTCGTATGGACGGACAACCTGAAACAAGTCTATACAACACACCGGAGGGAAGAAACACTGACGGAGCATATGTCTTATCTGATCCTGATATTCACTCTTCAGGATAAACACTGGTGTGAAGAAGACTCTGGGAAAATGTAACGTCTAATCACCCACTAAATCATGCATGAGTACATTAGCTATTTGTGCCGTCCACCATTTAGGGACATTTCGGGAGCGCGGTACCCATTTCAAACTAAACAAGGCCACGGTCGGGTGCATTCGAAATGCTGACTCAGCTGCGGATCTCCCCTGAGCGCACGGCAGGCCTGCCCCCGCCTCCCCCCCCTGCAACGACGAGGAAACCTCTGCGACAGTACGCCAACCGTGAAATTAAATCAACAACTCCCTTATTGTAATTACATTTAGTTAAATGGGAAGGCAAAGTGTGGGTGTAAAACAATTAACATGTAATTGTCATCCTGACCAGGTTGGTGCTGATCTGTTTTCCCAGAGGATTCAATGAAATCCATCACGGCGCCCTCATCTCTTCCATTTGTTTTTAAACGGATCACTAAGTAAGGTGTCTTGGTGCTGCTGTGCAGCCGTGAATGCAGAATTATTTGCGATGATCTACACGAGATGATTTGAGTCATGTCGCAAATTAGTTTTTCACAGATTCTGACACGTCAATTATTTATTTGGAGGTAAATCATTTAAATTGGAGCCAATATTGAAGTTAGATATTGTGGAACGGAGCAAAGTTTATTACATTTACTGCAAGTCCCATTAAGGAATTATTGAGTTTTAAAACCTGTATTTTAAATGAGACGTGTAGGCGCCTGCACCAAATTCTCAACCTTCTGTCATCTGCAGGATTTTTATTCAGATAATGTTATATACTCTTCTCTTCAAATATCCTGACTCTATTAAAACTGTTTCAAATCACATGAGTCATACACATCAAATATTCTGAAAATATATTTGAAAATATTACAAAAATGTTGTATGACAAAAAACAGCCATAAGAATCTGAGGTCATTTAAAATTGTGATTTTAAGATATGAATCAAATTCCCACTTTATAATTGAGTGCAGAGTGAATTACATCATCCAACAAGACACAATGAAGTTAATGCTAAATTGATTATCAATATTTTAGTGAGAGCTGTTATTATTATTATTATATTTAAATTTTCCATTACCACTTGTCCCAATGCATGCTGGGACAACCGCATGCTCCCCTGTGATCCCATAGAGAGAACACGAGGCTATAAAAAATGAAGAGCTGCGTTTTTCCAGTTTCCCTGTAGAGAAGATGATTGTATTTTAAATTTTAGTTGTGTAGTTTTTATCATTTAATTGGTATTTATTTTAATATTGGTGCTTTTATTCCAGCAGAACACCAGTAGTCCATTAGCCGCTCTTGCTATGGGACTTTGTTTGTTTGTTTGTCTGTACAGCTAACTGCGCTCAGAACGGTTAATTGTTTGCAGGGGAAATAATTGTATGTGTAAACTTTGGGTTGTGTTGAATCCACTTTGTGTACAAGACTCAGGCTTTCAGTGTGTACTGGTGTGAGGTGCAGCTCAACACCTGCCCTGTTAGTGGCAGCTGGGAAGTAACTGTGAGGACGTTAAAGAGCCAAGTATTCATTTTAAAGCTGTAGTTACTCTTTATTGCCATTTCTTACACCTGTAACCTGTTGAGTGAGTGAATTTTGCTCTATTACTTTTATGACTGCTGCTGCTCCATGTGTACACATTTTACAGATGTGTGTGTTAGATGTATACGTGTATGTATTTTTTCAGTGCTTAAATTAATCTTTAAATGTTTTGCATATGACGATGAAGACTTTCGCTTAAATCCGTGATTTTACTCTAAAAGAAAAATTGTGATTTGATTTGCACACATCCAGACGTAACTGAAACATCTTCTAATTGAACATGTGTTTAAAAACATGCTGTCCATTATTTTTACAGAAGCCCCACATCCCCAAAATGTGTGTTGGGCATGATGTATAGGATTTGTTGACTAGTTGAAGACACACAGCAAAGTGTCAGGTCAGAACCGAACATGTGGCCGCAGCAGCACCAAAACCTCTGTATTCATGTGAACGTATAGAAATGATTTATATCTTGGCTCATGTGGGCGATCTTTCCCCTCCTCTCTTTTTGCTTCACTTCCTCTAAAACTCTCTCGATAGTTCTTCTTGTATTTCTTGTGCTTGCTGTTATTTTATCGCCTTTCTTCGCACCTCAACGCTTGCTCTCCTTACGCATGACTGCTCTTCATGATGTTGATGAAAAGAATTGCCTCTCACAGAAACCGGCCCAACATAGCTGTGATGACTAAAGCCCTGAAAACCTCAGGTGTGTCGATTTCCCTTCATCAGTCAAATGATCTGAAACTTTTTAAGGCGAAGATTTCATGTTAATCTTAACACACCGGAGAATAATGTCTTTGACAAGCACTCGAGGCTTCGACATAGTGGGACAGACATGACAAAGTGATGCTGACAGTTGCACCATTATGGAGTCACTCAGTATAAGAGTTAAAATAATGTGCATTATTTAAACTCTGCCGGCTTTTTACCCCGTGTCTTAAGGTTAAGGTTAAATGTTTTCCACATGTGTAGTGCAGAAAGAAAGTGAGGAAATTAAATTTACATATTGAACGCTTCAAGCAAAAAAAAAAAAAAAAAGACTAAGTACATACTTTCACTTCTCATAATACAGGTTGATGGTCTCTTTAATCTCTGCTGGACTCCTCCCTTGTATGGCAGCTATGAATAAGTTCCATGACTTGACTTTGAATGTCACCCATGTCCACATAAGCAGCCACAGAGGAGGAGCGTGGCCCCATCAGTGCGCCTGTTGTGTGGTTGATAAAGGTGCGAGCAACGAGGAAGGGCTGGGGACGCTGCGCTTCACTGCAGCCTGATGTTTCTGATGCCACGCACACACGCACACACACACGCAC